GTAACTGTCTGTAAGAGACATAACATAAAACAAATAAAATATGTAGAGACAAATAACAAAAAGACCAAAGTAATACAAATAGAACACAAACGTATTAATGAGCATACACATACATACATATACGCATACAGACGCATGCATACACACATGCGTAAACACATAAACATATACGCATATGTGTATAGAGAAGAGTCGACTTTAATAGATTGTATGTAGCAGGATCATATATATGTATTTGATGTTCACACACAGAGAGCCGACCTATCTATATATATATATATGTACTTATAATGAGTATCCTTTTTACGTCGCATATAAAACTTAACAAGAAGGTGTAAAAAACTACAAAGAACTGAAAAACGGTTCATTTAGATATTAACAGATAAGAGTATAGGGTACACATCAGATGTATACAAAATGGATTTGTATATTTATATATCAGATGTACAAATTTGAATCAGAGAATGTGTAGTATAACGACAGGACATGTACGTCATTTTGTTGTGTCATAAACAAGTGCCAAAAACGGCTGACTCATCATAAGTCGAAAATGCCTTGGCATAATATTATTTCGCTTTCTTTAAAATTTCGATATTTTGTTCCTAACGAACAGCAGACGCGGACAGCGTCTCCTTCCTTCCTTTTTTTTTTTTTTTTTTTTTTTTTTGATTTTCCTTCTTCCAAATATAGAGAAGAAAATTCTTTTTGCATCGAATCCGACTCGCACAAGAATACGGAGAGACCGTCAGACCGAATTTAATAACTTTATCAGGCAAAGGCCGCTCTATGCCGAATCGGATCACAAGGGAATGATCTATTATCAGCCGGTTGAAATCCAACGAAACGGTTAAGTAACCGGATCCTATCAACAAAAATTGATTTATTTGGAAAGCTAAGCGTCAGCAAAATCATTAAAAGCTGACCCATACGACTTATTCACCAGACTCAATAACTTCTCAATACTATTTGTTTGCCCTTGTAGGCGGGAGCACTTGCTAAGCAAGACCTTGGTCCATAAGAAGATGCAAAGAATATATGATGCCGATAAATGGCAAGAGGAGGAAATTTTTACTTCCCATCTGTTCACGCATTCCCCTAAAGACGAGGGAACTATGTACTTAGCCATGGAGCACTGCTTATATAAATCAATTTTTCCATACTATTCTTCTGTTCCTTTAAACTATTTCTTTCAAAATAAAAAAAAAATTCCACATTTCATACTTGCACACATATGTATGCGTACACATAAACATATATATTGTATACACGTGTTTTATGTTGACAGGCCTCTTTAACAAATTACACACAATAAAAGCACTTTTCTGGAGATAGGTTCTATATATTTTATACCTTACATAAATAAAATTTAGTTAAGACTTCTTTCAATTTTTTCTCTTCTCATATTTGTAAATATGTGATTGTTTATAGATTCTTTTCTACCTACGACCTTATGCTTGAACATATTTAACTTTAAAGTAAATGCTTTTTAAAACTTTCCTCTATACAACTGTATACATATAGATATTTTTTTCAAATATTTCCAAAGTTCATAGAGCAGATTTCTTTGTAGAACAAAATAAAGAAGAAACTACAAAAGGAGTTAAATGCACACAAAACGCTTCTATGTATCTTCTCTTAAAAACAGAAAAGCAAAAAAAAAAAAAAAAAAAAAAAAAAAAAAATAGAAATAGATAGAGAAATAAAAATAAAAATAAAAAACTGGAAATATTTCCAAGATCAAAGTTTAACTCTAACGTAATCTTAAAAATGTTTTTATGTAGATAAGTAAAAGCAAACGAAAAAAAAAACAACAACAAATTCCTTTGGTTTGGAGCACATTATTTAACAACTACCGTTAACTTGTGTTGCAACAAGGAAGCCAGGGACATCTTCAATAATTTATTTACAGATAGATAACAGTATAAGCATATATATAAGCATCTGCTGTTTGCACCCATCATCAACGGATGAATTGATTTCGAAGTCCGCCCGTCTAGCCGTCTGTGTAATGTCCGCTGTACGCATTCTCTTGGCCGCCAAAATGAAGGCAACCAACGCCTTCAAACTCGCCAGAAATGTTGAAAGTTCTTGAACGCAGGTTGGCATAGAAAATGGACTAAATCGCTTGAAGGACAAGCCTATAATGCTACGTAGAAGCATTGCGAAGACTTCTGTTTTGCAAGAAAAATAAAATATTAAATTATTTTACTAATTGCTCTACTAAAACTACAGTAGATAAACTTACAAAAACATGCATTCTACGGGCAATATTATAGTGCCTTCACAAAACTGAAAAAATTCGACCATGCCTACTCAGTTTTATAATTGTGTCGTTTTTTTTCAATAGCTATATAACCGGCAAAAGTCATCTTACAAACACACCATAAAGTCTGCTTCAAATTCGGGATGCACCTAAGCATGCGCGTTCGTTCATCTGTCCGTCCGTTTGTCCAACAACGTAACCAACAAATTTTTCAAATAACGCACTTGCAACACCCGCATGTCTAACTAACGCAACAAAAACTGTGAACACCTTTGCTTTTCGTGTTTCTTGCTTAACACTCACAAAGTAAAACACAGATGCCGTATAAATTTCCACTTTTATTCTGAAGATAGAAATTTGTGTTTTAAAAATTGTAAATTTTTTTATGCAATCGGCCGGGTGCAAAATGTCTCAAGCACATCGCATTAATAAAATGAGTCTTGTGCGGAGCGAATGTGTTCCGCTGAGCCCGAGTCATCGCGGATATCTCTTAAATCGAAAATTTAGTCGAGTCCGCTTAACAACATTCTAATGTTAATAATAAATTTCGTCATAATCTTGCTTTGATCCTCGAATAGTCGACTCATCGATAGTACGTATAAAAAAATGAAGATTAATCGAGAAATTCTATTTATCGTTGAATCAATCAAAAAAAAAAACAAAAAAAAATCCATAAAACTTTCATTCAATTATAAAGCATGCACTAAATTAAGCTAATAATTATGTTATATGCGTGATAGTGTGGGTGGCTGGTTGTCTTATTTTATTTTAATTAAATTTAAATGGATTCATTGGAATCTATTTCATTAGCATGCACTTTTTTCATATTATTTTCAAAATACTAAAATAATTGAATTTTAATAACTTTGTTAAATTAAAAATTCGTTTTTTGTTTTCCTTTCTCTATTTTCTTTTACACAAAAAAAAAAAAAAAAAAAAAAAAAAAAAGGAACGTCATTTTTTTTTTTTTTTTTTTTGTTTTTTTTTTTTTTTTTTTCTTTTTTAGGCTTCACTACTTAAATTAATTAAAAACATGCCTATGAGTCAACAGCGAACGAGGATAAAATACATAAAAATAAATAAATATCAAATACGTATCCATGCGTCCGCATATGCATGTGGATTTGCGTTCTTTTATTTGGATAAATATGTCGAATAACATTTGAATAATTACAAACATTGATTATGATAATTATAAACAAGAGAAAATTCAAATTTAATTGCGTATGTAACAGCAAATATACGCACGAACGCAATCACAAAAATGAGCTATAATATGCAATTATGTATATATAACGTAATGTAGCAACACATTCAATAACTAATTGTGAGCGTCGGCAAAGAGCACGATATATATATATATACATATATGTTTCATAAATGTTAATAAATTTGAATAAAACTTGACGTGATCTTTACGCTTTCATTAGCCCAACACTGAACACTGATTCTGGCGAGAGAGTTTCGCGTAATTCACTTGCTAGTGCAAGATCATTAATTAATGAATTTAGGTATCTTCTCTTTAATTATGAACATTTCATGCAGAAAGTTTATTACTCTTTTTTTTTTTAACGGAAGACACGAGGTTGAGAGAAAGAGGAGTTGCTTAGAGAAAAGATCAAAGAACAATGTCTGATAAGTGAATCGAGAGAAAATGCATTTTTTTTTAAAAGTCAAAAAAAAAGAAAATGCGTTTATACCTTACACTATTCGCATGACACATGGATACCTAAAGCTTGTGCGGAACGACTTGCTTCGATTATGATCAAATTCGATTCAGAATCGCTTTCTTAATCGATCTAAGCTTGTCTATCTCTCTGTCCGGTTTTGTTTTTTTTTTTTTTCTGTTTTCAATCTCCAGTAAAAAATTTGTGCGTTAAAGAGGATGCAGCCATTTCACTGTCCAGCTGTAGGAGCCTCTTAAGCAAAATAAGCGCCCTCAACTTTTTACTGCGGGAATTGACGCACACGGGATCCCCAGAATTAATTATAAATAGTATTGCGATATGTAAGTATGCTGCTTGGCCTTCGCGTATAGAATTGGAAAATACAACTTGCACCTACCTTCTTGTCCACCTGTATATGTAGAATTATGAAGAGAAGCAAACTTGAGTATGAAATTGAATAAAAGTTTGTATGAAAATGTATTAAAGTCGTTCGTATTAGAAATCCAAAATCGTGCTGTCGTACACTAGAGCATCTTCGCCGGAATGACAAAGCAGCAATTACACTTAGCCACGTAAACCTAAAATTATATGCCAGAGCGTCAACAAAAGATAAAAATTGATCGCTTAGCATCCAGTTATAGTATAAATACGAATGTTCCCAGATGCAACGTGTGCGATTATCATTTATAGCGAAATGTGTTGTTGGCTCTGGCTTTATGTTTCCACCTAGAAATATATATACATATAACTCGCAAATTCATAGAAGATATAACTAAAATCAATATAACGTACGTAACATATAAATGAATGATTATATCCGTAACGAGATTTCGAAAAATGCATCGCTTAAGTATTGAATATATATAAGGCATCGTAAATGGCGCCGTTATTTCAAGCGAGTTATTTATCGACCAGATCAACGACTTGTGTGCCTGTAGCTATCGCATATAATTTTTGCACTCATTAATTAAGATATTTCTAAGACCACTGTTGCAAAAAATATTAATAATTATTTTGAAGCTCCTGAAAAGGTTCTATTTATTTATTTATTTTATTCTTGCATTCTTCAGGTTGCGCTTTTGTAAAGTTCACCTCACAACAGGAGGCTCAATCCGCAATCAACAATTTACACGGAAGTCAAACTATGCCGGTAAGTTTTTGCAAATTTATATAATATTTTTATTTATTTATAATTTTTTTTTTTTTTGTATATTAAATATTTTCTTATTAAAACTCTCAGCTGGTTTTCATAAACATTTTTTTCTATATTTCCTGTAGTTTCTTGTTTTTATTTGCACCCATCATCTAAAGATAAGGGGTACAATTATTTTGTCAAAACGTTCGCAACGCCCCGAAGTAAACTTTAAAAGCCCCCCCCATAAAATATATAAATTCTTGGCCAGTTCCAAATTCCGTCCGTTTTAGCAATCGTGTAATATCTGTTCCCGTTCGCAAACGTAAAGATATCGCCCAAAAACTTGTAAAAGAATTTGAAAGTGAGTCGAACTTTTAAAGGAACACGCCTACGCAATGCCCGCATGCCTACGCAAGGAAAGCTTTCAACAGCTTCACTCTCCGAAAATACACAAGCACCATACAACATCATAGGACACGAAAATTAAGTTCTTTTTCTTTTTTTCTTCGAATCATTGCGGCGGGCATAAAAGATTTGAGTCGTGAGCGAACATAATTTTCTTACTTGTTAGATATGTTTTTCCCATACATTTTTAGAGGAAAAAAAAGTTTGTTAGCAACGAACCGGAAAGTAAAAAGGTGATATTTGCATTCATTTTAATTGATGAATTGATTGATATACTCAAGCACATAAAAATCATAAAATAATTTGTGAGTTGAGGAAATTCTAACTAACATGTTGAGACGAAGTTTACATTTACTTTTGGTTATGGAAAATGTCTGTGCTCGAGTTTGGATCAATCCGATCTCTAGGATCATCAGTTGAAATTTTTTTTTTTTTTTTTTTATGTGTACCAGCCGTACTTATCATCGCACTGGCTTTGCAAGAATCCTATGCTAGATGGTAAAATAATGCAAGTAATCGACGTAATTGAGTAATAAAGTCTTGTCTTTCCAGCGATAGACCACCGGCAGATAGACAGACGAAAATAGCTAAACTGAAATCTGTAATTTAATAATGATACAATTTATGCATATACTTTAGTCGAACCCTGATGTATTATATATCTGAACATAACTAACGGACGGAAAAGTTCAGTACACCTACGTTGTTTTGTCGCTTGATACAAAAAAAAAAAAAAGGAGAAAGAGAAACGAAAGCGTTTTCTTAGATTTTCATGACACTCAGGTTATTTTGCACGTAAATTGCTTCCTTTGATATGATGATGTCGTTTGCGAGGTTGTTGTTGTTGTTGTTAAGTTATTCATCATTGTCATCAATTTCTCCTCTCCCAGACTTCTATGTAACGTCGCAACCCCTTACTATTTCAATAAAGAAAAGTAATGTGCGACTAACACTCACTATACATACACCACGTATACACGTATAAATATATATATAACTATATATATATATATATATATATATAAATAAATATTTATATATACAAATATATATATATATTTATAACTATATATATATATATATATAACTATATATATATATAACTATATATGTATATTTATTTATTTATTTATTTATATTTATTTTTCATGTTTTTATTGTTATTTTAAAGTAAAAGAAAGAAATTCGTCTTTTCTAGTAAAATAAGCAGGAAAGCGGAAAAAAAACGGTTGACAAAGGCGGAATTCAAATGAAAAACATGTAGAGAGTGAATTTTCTTCAAACAATTTCAAATACTTGGGCAAAAAATTCTTTTCCCATTTTTTTTTTTTTTTTTCATTTTCCCAGCCCTGGTCTTCTACACTCTAACGCCTTTATTTGCTCTTGACTTATTCTTCTTCTTCTACTTCTTCCCAGCAGTATTGAAATGAAATCTTGTTTTAATTTAAACCAATTTTTTTTTTTTTTTACTTGTTGGCGTGAAAAACACAGCAAAGAATGTTCTAGTTCGTTATTGTATTCTGGATTGTTTGCAGAAATACTTCAATTAATGGAAAACAAGTTGAAAGTTCACCCATAAATCCCCATCGAAAAAGGTGCCAGTTTAATTTAATGCTAATTTAATCTATCAAAAATGCACGATTTTCGAATCAATGACACAACATTTTGTTATTAAATCTAAATCAATATTTGTTGGTTTTCCTGAATCAAATTCAATAGGTTGCAAAATAAATGAAGGCAAGGACCGATAGATATTTTGTTTTTACGATAATTCATTGTTTAACGGATGTGTGTATGTGTGTGCGCATTGTTCCTTCATTTTGGCAGCTGGTCCTAAAGTTCAGTCTTTCTAAATTGTTCACCTAACACCATACACTGCATAGTCTGAAAGTCGCTTAAAATCGGTCAAGTCTCAGGAGTTATCGTGCCGTGTATGTAACCGAAATAATAGCCTACTTACTCTTTACTTCTTTTTTCGCTAAATTTCGGAAGGTCATATTAGGACTCGATTTCCGGGATCTAAAAGAGAGGATAAACCGAATGTCCAAGTGACAAAAGTAGGATGCGGATCGCATTTAATTAGAGGGAAGTTAAGCCAAGGATCAAAATAGAAAAAACCAGGGAAAACAAGTGGAAAACCATGATGGTCCATCTGGCTCACGGACAATTGGGAAAGCCGTCACAGTTAAACTGAAGACTTGCAGTTTCTATGCTGATGTTTTGAAAAAATGCACAAAGCGATAAGGCCTGAAGAAGAAAGCATCAACATATGGAAGAGACGAAGCACAACGCCTGGTGATCTTCTAGTCTAACTAAAAAAACACATAGTCACGTCGGTGTATTGCAAAAGGCATTATAACGTATATTTAGAGACTCGCTCATTTCGGTCAACATTTCGGCGAAGGTCTTACTCGAAATAGAAAACGAATTAATCAGTCAAAGGGAGAAATGATCGATGGCCTATTAAAAGCAACAGACAAGTCAAACACGAAAAAGAGTCCGGTACATAACAGAAGACCAGTTTGTCACAAAAAGCTTATGCACCAGGGTGCCCGCAATCGGGAAAGAGTTATTTCGAAATGCAGACCACCCAGCCAGCACTAGTTTTGGTAGATAAAGCCGCGACGCCATTAGATAAGATCTATTTATCTGCTGAAAAACGTAGGCAAACTTTTGGAGAGATTGTGGAAACAAAACCCGAGGCAAATTTTTCAATTCTAGTTTGAAAAGGGTCTGTGAAACACGAAAAGCAGGAACGCCTTCAACACGGCTGACTGCGGAGCTATTATAAAAAGTTTAATTACACGAGGGCTCGTAGGCTCCTGGATATCTGGATAAGATGATAGACAACTATTTTCAAGATAAAACACACGATGGCAAGGACGCTGCAAGGCTCCGTCTTTACTCTCTGTTGTTGCAATCTCAGATATAACGGCTTGTAAGCTTCCAAGATGATAAAAATTGCTAGGATACAGCCTGCGACGACGCCATTAGTTGAGTTCGTTGCAGTTCTTAGTCTAAAAGAGCACTTAGCGGAAAATTATGTCGAACTTGAACGCATGAGAATAGATCAGACGAAAACTTATACTGGCTGCCTAACCTAGCCGGGTACACAAGGCTTCTACATAAGCTACCAGCAGCTCAAAAGCTTTGTACATCAAGCTATAATATTAACCTTCCTAACGGTTTCATTCCAATAGAGATGTTACCAGCAGAGCAGCTCCCTATTCGAAGAAACATTGCAACATAACATTCGGAAATTAAAGACAGCTATCCGCAAAAATATGTTGACGGAGCCGCAACAATGATAGGAAAACGATTCAAAAGAAAGGAGGGTCTACACCTTTAATGCTAAGCGTTGAACAACGGATGTGGATGGGGAAGGACGACAAAGAGAAACTAATTTTTCTTTCGCCTAAGTTTTTACTGGGCTTTGAAACTTGTCGAATTATCTGTGCCGTTTTAATCTACGAAGAAAGAACATTTGCGACCTGCGTCAAAGCATAAATGATGCTACTATTCTCGCCAGTTTAGCTGGAGCATCTTGGCCAAATATATTTTCCAGATCCCTGGAGATGGAAATTGTCCAATGCCATCTACTAGTAGAAAATGTGCCAGTTTTGAAAGGTAATGCGACGAAAACATGTATATTTGTTTTGTTTGGTTTGTTTATATACATATACTGTGTGCGTGTGCGTGTACGTGTGCCTTGTGTATCTAACATGCGTTACAGTTCGCAAGCAAGTCTTATAAAAAATTGTCGAAGAATTTTTTTCTTTTTTTTTTTGATCAGCGGATGCAAAACCACAACGAAGCGAAACTTTACTTGTATACAACTTATATGCAAAACACACACACACACACACACACACACACACACACACACACACATGTATATATATGTATACATATTTTGAAAATGAAAAGCAAAAAACCACGGAAACGCTAAACAAACCAAAAAACGCCTAAAGCAGAAGGAATGGAAGGAGGGAAAAGGGATGCAAACAAAATGGATTTAAACGAAGGCGCTAAAGAACACAAGAACGTAACTTAACGGAAACGGATATAACTGGAGGTACAGAAGTATACGTAAGCCAAGTCAAAGGAATTTTAGAAAAAATACAAGCAAAAGTTCAATAATCATGATCAACACATGCACATCCACCTTATGCTTGTATTTCGTTTTTTTGTTTTGTTTTTTTTTTTTTTTTTTTTTTTTGCTTTAAATAAAAAGGAAAACAATAATCTACCAGCATTACAAAATGGATATAAATGCAGAACAAGAACAACAATTTCAACAACTTTATAAGACAACATCAAACGCAGAGTATAAAAGTTGATAAAGTAGAGCAAAAACAAATGGAAAGGGAGAGGTATCTGTTATTCTATTGTTATCGTAGTGTAAGATACGTACTTGGGATCATCAAACAAAAAAGTTTAGAGCAAGGGGTTAAAAATTAAATTTTAAATCTTACCGAACCTTAGACTCACTCGCTGTACTTTATGTATGTTTGATATCTATTTCTCTTATTCTATTTGCGTTAATGTTCTTCTTTCTGTTTAATTTCAAACTGTATTCAAATTGTTGCCGTTGGGTGTTAGAGTGTGGA